TTGTATCTGTGTATTCAAAGTGGTTAGGATAGATATATAGTTACATTCTCTTAATGAATAGAGGGATTTGTTCTAATAGTGTTTGTAAATAGGCTATCAAATCTGCATCTTGTACAGCAATCAACCACTTGGAAGAATGTATGCAATGTGTGAATTATTGAAACTGTCCTACCAATTTGATTTGAAACTGTCTCATTGCTATTTGTTTATCAATAAAATTATGGTAGAAAAAGAAAAACAGTGCAGCATGAGGAGTGGAAGGAGCAGAAACTGCTATCTTGCTTGCTGTCTAAATCGCTCTCGCCACAAGCCTACGAAGAGGATGTGTATGACTCTGATAACAATGTAAGATTACACTTTAAAATGAGACTGAATTAAGCTTTGGTATATGGGTAGAAGCTGACTTAGGAAAGGGAATTCAACAGTTGCTGAAAAAACATAAAAGTTCTTTCAGGTTAATATTGTGTTGAATCAATACTCCTCCATTGTATGACAGACACATACACACAACAATTTATTACGCCACACTTCTGACTAAAATCCTTCCACATACTCCCAGCCGGTGTGGACTTAAGCTGGATACTTAGGCTGGCATGCCCCTCACTTAACTGTTGGCTCCCACCAGTTCTCCCAAGTGTCACTCCCAGATACTACTCTGCCAACTCTGAACTGAGGATGCTACATTGGGTGGATACCTGTGAACAACTTTCACTGAACTTCGTGTTGAAGGAAAACAGGGTCTCTCTGTGAAATACTTTGACAGTCACATTGAGACTCAACTACTCGCAGGCTATTCTTTAGCATGTCCTACACCTCTGCTCCCACAAGGTAAATGCACTCAAGTCATTTGTGTGTGTGTCCCCAAACTTGCTTAAATCACAATGTATTGTGGTAATTATATGATAAGAGCTGATAAAATATGAGCATATGAAGAAAGACAGCTTTTGTCATATTCCTACTTTGAAAATGTTTGAAAAGACTTGATAGTGGTGTGTTGAGAGAACATCGCAGGCCACTTGGGGTGGAGGTGTACTGTTGGGGACAGAATCTGGAAGGATGCATTTTTTTTGCGTCTGCCTTTCCCTTCTCGCTCTGCCTCCTGGCTGCCATGGGTGACCACCTTTCTTCAGCTGTACCCTTCCACCATGTACTTTCTGCCAGGGAAAGAACCAACCATGGCTTAAATTCTCTAAAAACTGTGTGCCAGAATAAATCTCTCCACTTTGAAGTTGTGAGTGTTACATATTTTGTTCCAGCAATGGAAAAATTGATTAATGCAACACGTGTTATAACTCCATCTGGTTTCAGGAGTAACTAGCGATACCTTACTGTGCCCAAGTGAGACAGCTAGAGAAGAATCATCTACTGTGCTTCTAGCTCTCCAATTTTCCTTTTCTCACAACTCCATAACTTCAAACCCGCTGCTTCCCTTGCCAAGAAAGGCTTCGTGGCTCTCCAGGGCCCATTCTGAGTTACCCCTCACCCAACACGGTAACTCCATGCACTGCCACATCAAACGTGACCCCGTCTATTTTGCTTCTTCTTAGTTCTTTTTCCTTAATGTGTCTTTCATCTGTTTTTACTCACTTTTTCTTTTCCAGAAGTGAAGGCTCTTTTCCATATATGAAAGTGGCCCACCCTGAAGAAGTGCCTGGCACTTCCTGTGGAAGATAAAAATGCCAGTTGCTCTAGTCCCTGTCACTCATTGCTGGCACCCAGGCACAGGGGCACAGGATCCAGCTCTGCTGTTACCTGAGCAGCTGAAGTCATGAAGCTGGCTGGCCGCTGCTGCTGAGATTATTCAGAGGCTGGGTGGAAGCAGTAGGAGTGTCTATTGTCCTTTCTGTAGATGTCAATTGCAGAAATAGAGAGTACTTTGTTGCCTGTAAAAATGGCTCTTTTATCCCCCCAGTATCCTGTAAGCTTCCTAATAGCTTATGGCAAATTATTTTTCTACTCAAAATTAACTAGAGTTGGTTTCTATTGCTTAAAGCTCAGAATCTTGACTGATACTTTGCTTTAAGGCAATAGTGTGGCATTGTAATATTTCCATGTATAGTCTGCTCCATGTCACTGACCTTGAAAAATTCCATTTCATCTCTGTGTAGCATGATATAAAGCACAGAGACGGCTCTTAACAAATTGCTATTATGCATTAACTACTTAACTGGTAATAGATTACCCTGGAAACCCAAACCCACAGAATAACATCAAATGAGCTCAGAGTATTTCCAATGGGTGAGAGCTGTGGTCTCTTCTGGACATCTCCTCTATCTGCAGCTTCTATAGATGAAGTGAAGCCATAGCATTTAATTAAATATCCTTTATTTAAATATAAAATGGCAATGTACATCATCTACTTATATACTTAGCAGCTCTGCAAAATATAAGTAATGCATATAAAAATACAGAATTAAATCCAACATCTTCACTGTAGTGAATGATGTACGTTTTTGAGGATAATCCACCAAACTGACCAACTGGCAAAAATGTCATCTAAGCTGTAACATTTCCAGGTTTCCCACCATGTGTTCTCACCACCTTCTCGGCCAGTTCCAAGTTCTGTAAACTCTGCAAGAGCTAAAAAACCACAAGTATACACATTTGAAACAAAACACACTTGAATTTTCTGAAGCATGTTTCTCCAGAACCACACTGAAGAGCCGGGTAAAGGATGCAGAAAGTCAACTGAGTACTCCAAGATCCACGGAGCCAGGCGTGGCTCTTGGCCCAAATCAGCAGCTGGGCTCTCAGTTGTCTCTTCAATTTGTGCTACACGGTACTGATAGTTGACATATCTGAGTTACACGTTGTCTTTACCAGAGGTTTTTCTTTCTTAAAGATATTCAAGAGGGGACTAGGCAGCATGAATTAGCTAACTTATCATTATCGTTTCTGAGTATATAATCAAGCATTAGCAGCCATTGCAATTATATGAGTGTAATGTGTGAATTTAAAATGCTTCCAATAACAGACACTTATTCACTAGATTCAAATTATAACAAGTACCAAGCAGCACTGAAACAACATTTTAGACCTGGAGAAGGACCTTGATAGTCTCTAGAACTATTTTTCCCTTATTTGAGAGATTATTTACAGTAGGGATATAAATGAGTTTGAGTAACTAACTTGTCATTTCTGTGTCTCCACTTTTTTGTAAACCAAATATGATGTTATAAAGCCCTCAAAGAACCCCTATGGTATAAGTATCAAAGGCCTAGGTTAGGCATGCAATTTTTGGTGATCTTCTCTTCCAGACTTGGCTCCCATTTATTTGAAGCATCAAAAAAGTCTGTCTACATGATGGAAATATCTTTTGCTCCTTATATTCCAGGGATTCTCCATCTTCCCTTCATGCAAATTGATATTTCATGGTATTGTTTTCTGTCTTCAACAGGATACCTTCAACATACCCTGCTAAAAATTTTTATATTATAATAACTTATTTACAAATTGACCTTTTTGTTAGATTTTGCATTTTAAGAGGTGGAGTTCTATGGTTATATGTCCTCCAATCTCCTGTGTCTAACACCATGATTAACATACAGCAGGCTTTCTGTGTTTGTCAAGGAGATAAGAATATTTGTAGAAGTGCTGTGAAAATAAAAAAAGAACCAAGAAAATTTAAACAACTATAGTATTGTATTCCTTAGGACTATTTCAGAGCAAAACACTTGGGAAGATAAAATATTCACTTGAAGAATAAAATGTTCTGATTATGGCTAGGCCTTACTGCAGTAGATAGGGTCCATTAGTCCACCATGTAAACTTTTTTCACAGGTAGCACAAGACAAACACAAAAATATTTTTAAAAATTAAAAGCACATAATCTCTCTAAACAAAATAAAATAAAAAGAAGAAAATTTAATACATAAGTAACAGTAGATACCAAATAAAACCCTTAACCCATCTTTACTTTCCTGGGCCACCTCTGCTCCGTGTGATCCTGGGGACATGTAGCCCAAGGGAGTGGGTTTAACCAAGTGTCTTGACTTGGCTTCCTTGTCAGGTGTCCCACAGTTCAGGGCCAGTGATAATGTTCTTCTGTGATCCTGGATAAATGTACTTGGGGTAGCAGCAAAGAATCCTGGTCTTGATAACTAGCAACAGAAATTCTGGGCTTCTAATTGTATGATCTCCTGACATCATTTTCATAAAACAAAATCAAATTGGCTTAATAGTCTTTTCTGGCCTTTTTCCCCTTCTTGATATGACTGGCCATTGCTCTTCAGACTCATACATCAATTTATCTCCTCATCCCACTTTCTTTATCACAGAAATTTTAACTGACATAATGAGTGATATGTATCCCTATTCATATGGGACAATCCCAGTTTATGTTTGGCCTGGGTTATTGCTTATAACTTTCCCTTTTACTCTCAAAAGTGATCCAGTTTGGATAATAAATTATATAGCTGCCCAATTACTTGTGGAACTAAAAAATGGGACACACTGTAGGCAAGATGAAGCTCATCTATAGAGGGACTGCAGTCTGACTCTGGGCAATTGATCTTGGGTCTAATTCTCACTTAATGTACTGCTTTGGTAAATTTCTTAAGCCCTCAGTGTCAATTTCATCACCTACAACAAAAGGAATAATAATGATGCTTATAATCCATACCTACCAGGATTATTGTGAGTGTGGAATGAGGTGAAGTGTGCAGTGCCCTTGGCACTTTGGTGGATTTGAATTACGTTTTCATAATAATAACTGTCATTCCCATTTCCACCCCTTCTTCCTTCCTTTACTCCCTTCCTGTTTTCCTCATCCTTCTGTCCTTTCTTTCAATTTTTCTTTTAGTCACTCCTGATTTTTTAAAGGCTTATACAGTGAGTTCACTGGGTCCCATGAAGCTACATGACCAAATCAACATGGCAGAAGCAAAACGCTCCTCCCTTGTGTTGGAGGCAACTGAAGCAGGTCAAAGCACTGTTGTTGGGTAACATTAATCTTGCCTTCTCTGTATGTAGATGTACAAGTAGAATAAAAACTGTAGACTTTGCTCCCGGCCATTACCATCAGCCATAATAGGGACTGTCTTGAGTCTTCTTTCATTCACTGATTTTTGTAAAAGCTGGACATGGTGACATAAGCTTCTTCCTGATTTTGCCTCAGAGAAGTGAGGATGGGCTGTCCCTGAACAACTGAATTCAATGTCAGCAGTCCTGATTGGTGAGGAGATGGTTGGAGCACAGTGTTGTCTACAGTTCCAGGACTAAGCAGCAAGTCTTGGTACACATGAGAGCCACTTCTGACACCCTCCCTGCAGTCTGGAGCCCAGAAAGAGGGGCGCATAGGGCCACTGCATGCACTGACATTTCCAGCAGGACATCCAAAAGATAATTCTCTGTTGAGAGTTTCTGAAGTGGTAACTGGAATCTGGGATGGGCAGTTAGGTCCATGTATACTCCTGGTAGGCTCATGCTTCTCAGACTCCTCTAGTGGTGGAGAAAGAGTGTCTTGCAGAAAGTTTTCCATTTCATCTCTAGACTGAATGTCATCAACTTTATGAATCTGGCAGTCCAAAAAACTTTCAGGATTGAAACTCGCATTAAAATTCTGCAAAAAATGAGAGAGAGAGAGAGAGAGAGAGAGAGATTAAGATGACACCAGACAGATGGGGCAACAAGCACTCAGTTCAGATATAGACAGGCATAAGTTTATAGATTTAATGAACCCTCTGGCCGGGATTTAACAGGGAATGTCTGAGAATTTCCCACATGTCCTTTGACTTCTGGAGGTACTATGTCCTTTCAGGGTTTGAAATGACCACTTGCTGGGTGCTCCAGCCCTGAAGCCTAGACATCTCTAGACTTGCATTTCATTTTAGCTCCTTGCTTACAGGGACCTATAGCTAGGGTCTTATACAGAACCCTCACTAAGGTTGCATACAAGACCAGATGCTGGGTGTCAGCTTTCCTTGTCCAGGAATATAATTTTTAGCTGCTGGGATGGCACTACCAGTGTGCTTCCTGAAGTACCAGACATACTTACTTTTTCTGGTTTCTTACACAACTGTTCCAGAGTCTTCTTGTGATCAGGAAGACTTGGCCATACAATAGCCTTAATCCTGAAATCAGAAGACATTGATAGATCAAGTGGCTGGCAGAAAGAACAGGCCCGATAGGTCTTTCTACTTATTCTGAGCTAAGAACCATGACTAATGGATGACCATGGGCTGGGGATGTATTTTCTTTGTGTCTCAGTGCACTACCATTATCAGGAGGGGTAGACCAGAAAACGCTGTTATTAATCTACTCTACAAACAAGGTATCACAATGGTACACCTGGGAAGAAACAATGATGTTGGACCAAGGTAATTTTGGTGTAGCTTTAAAAGTAAAATTTGACCAGGTCATTCACTGCCAATACAGATGTTGGCATCATGCCCCCTTTTTTCACTGACCATGCTCCTTTTCTCTACTTTTGTTAGAAGCGAAGAATACATTCTAAGTTATTCAGGGAAATTGCTTTAAAGCAATACTTTTTGAATTGATTATTTGCAATCCTGGATATACGGCCTATGCTAAGGACATCCTTTATATTAAGTAACTTAACTGGTGTGATTTTTATTTTTGGAATAGGAGTTGCCTTATGTGTTCACTTTATGCATTTTGGCTTCCTATGAAATCAGTAGAGAAATTCCACTGGCACCTGAGATTGGGGAGGGGGGCAGTGAGCACTATAATTCCTTGTATATCTAACTGCATTTTGCAAAGCTTTTCATCAATAATTGGGGCTCAAGATTTCACCAACTGGGACCCCCATACAAATGTTCCCTGGATTATTTTTAAAATGTCACCTTTTTTTCCATAACGCACAGGCTAAGATGACCAACAGACCCACAGAAATAAAGCTGGTAACGCTGATAGTTAGTAAAACAGGATTCATCTCTTCTGAAATACAGGCATAGATTGTGGTTAACATTCAGCAAATATAAGTTAGGTAGACTTTCATTAAACATTTAGTTTATTGGGGCCGGGGAGATGGCTCAGTGGAATAAGCGCTTCCCTGGCAAACACAAGGGCCTGAGTTCAATCCCTGGTTCCGCAAAAAACATTTAGTTTATTTAGTAACATGGGATCTTTTGTTATTTCTTTTTTTGTGTCAGGGTCTCGCCATGTAGCCCATGGCCTTAAGCTCACAGGGATCCTTCTGCCATCACCCTCATAGTGCTGGGATCACAGGTGTGTGCCATTACACTTGTCATCGTTTGTTATTTCTTGAAAGGTTTTCTTTGGTAAACAAGAAGATCTGCATGGTTTAAGTGACAGTGATTTGGGCCGCTAGGGCTAGAACATCAGCTACTTGAAATACAGAGGTGATTGAGCATCAAAGAAATCACCAGTCTCTTCTCAACTCCTTCTGCCAACAAAAAAAGTCAATAAAGAGCTGAAAAAGTAAATGTTCACCCTAAGGCCATAAGAAGTGCCAGGGTGGGAATGAGAGGTTGGCACGAAGTGGTGCTTGTTCTGCTTTCCTAACCTGCCGAAGGGAAGGTCTATGTCGGGTTTCTTTGGGGGAACTTTCCTGTTCTCTGGCTTTTCTGGCTAGTACTACTTTGCAGTCCCAAGGACATATTTGTAATTTTGGAAAAAGAGATGTAGGGCAGCCATGCTGCTTGCCCACATGCCTTCATAAACGATGCTCCCTGGGAGATTTTAAAGAGACCAACTATTAGGATCCCATCTAAATTGACAAAGAGAAGGTAGTCATGGGCATTTTGATAATTAGCAGCCTGAGGCAAAACCATCAAGACAACCAGACCAGTTATCAACTAAGAAGGACTGCTGCTCCCACTCCTTATAAAAAGAAAGACATAAAGAGGAAAGATGAGAGGCAGACCATTCTCCAAAGAGAATGGAAGAACACCCTCCTGGGGTGTGCTCGCCAGCAGGCTCATTGCATCTGTTTACCCTTCCCTTTGTATTTCACACTTTAATGCTCAGTGTTTTGTAAAGGAAGGCAGGTTTTTCACAGCCATTACTCACCTTCACTATTGGTCTCTGGTGTTTTGAAGTGGTAACTTGGACTCCATTCACTCCAGAAGCCTTTGTAGTAGTCACTGTGAGGAAGGGACCGGACTTTAATCTCATACATTGCATCAGATTGTAGCTTTCTCTGTGGGAGTGTCAGCCTCGTGTTGGTTATATTCATATGCTGAGGGGTAAAACATTCCATTAGGGATATAAAAAGAGGTGTTGCTCAGGTCTCCTGAGTCAGCTTGAGGTAAACTCCTTCAGAATTTTAGGCATCTTCCTGAGATTCTCTCATGTTTGTTAAACTGAGGGGACCAAGGGTTTAGCAAAAGAACCAGGAGCAAATTCCCTGAGCTCATAAATGATGCCATGAGTGGCCAAGAGAACTGTCATAGTGTTAATTTTAATTCACTTGAGGTGCCCTGTTCTATTTCAAAAAGTTAGAAATCATCTGCAGGATTTTGTCTTCCTTCCTACGCTTAAACAAATTCTTTCGTTTCTCTCCCCTTTCATGTGCCAAAGGAAATGAAAGTACAGCTTAAGGAGCAAGAATAATTTCTCCCCAGAAAAACGTCATTTTACACTGTGAATAGCAATGTGCACATAGGATTCTCCTCAACACTATGTATCATCCTTAAGGAAAACATAAGAATGAAAATTTCTGTCAATTTGATGAGTGAAGCAATATTCAATTGTCATTTACATTTATTTGTTTTTATATATAATTAATAAATTTATATCTTACTCATAGTTCCAGATTTTTATTTTTCTATTGGAATATTTATCTTTCTTAATAAGTCATTAAAGCTCTTTATATAGCTATTGACCATCTGTCAGCTGCATATATGGCAATTTGATCTTAAGTTTAATTTATTTTATAATTTTGTCTGTCTTGTGTGTTGGCACGGATAAGCTTATGGCAGGGCTAGACACTTAATTTACTTTTTTTCCAGACAGTATATTGTCATACAGGCATCTATTAAAAATGTCTTATTTCTTAATCATCTTGCTTTTCTCCTAGTACAATTTTACGATGAATAATGTAAAGAGTAGGATCAAAATCATCCAGCCTGTGTGTGTGTGTGTACAGAAGGAGGAGCACATGCCTTGGGAGTGAGCTTGCATTTCTGTAAGTAATGCACTGCACACAATGAAGAGCAATCCTGGCCCGATCAAGGAGGGCAGTGGGCATTGTGTAAGCTTTGAGAAAAAGAATTGCAGTATATTTTCTGTCCCTGTGGTACAGAAGGGACAAAAGTCAGGCCAGCATTTTAGAAGAAATCAGATAACCTCAGATAGTTTACTTTATTCCCACCACCTCCTCCCAAAGAGTAGAAACAGTCAAGTTATTTCAGATTCAGCAAATCCTAAAGAACTAAACTAAATAAACATCCAAACTATGAAGAATAGATACTGAGTTGTTGCTTTAGTGACTAAACCTTCAGACTTTAAAATAAAAACAAAGCTTGGAGAGACTCTCTGTATTCTCTTCTGAGTTCATGCTGCTCCCGCAAATCCCTAAACAAAATTGTAGATAATTCTTGGCGATGCTACCCAGAAATGTTGTTTGTCTGGTTCATCTAGAATGTGGTACTAGACATAACACTTTTTGAGGATTACTTTGGTCTCAATCTGTGTTGTGATTCATTAAGTTAGAAACATTATAAGGAGAAACAGTAGAGCAAGGAACAAAAAAAAGTCAGATCTACGGCAGGATGAGCCAAGGAAGGTGGAGGTTTTGTGGGGCCTGCATCTACTATGATACTGGGAGCATAGTAAATGAAAAGGAAAGTAAAGGAAATAGTCTGAAAAAAATTGTTAACTTTTCCAAGATAAATGCATTTCTAGAACAACGAAATACATAGTGTTAAGAAGTTCTTGATTCACAGATATGGTTGATCTACCTACCATCCAGTTGTTTCCATCTTTTTCCTGGCAGTAGGCTACATCATGCATTAATTGTTTTACATATTTCTTTTGCAAGTGTGATGTGTTAAATGTCACTTCAAAGTCATTTGCTCTTGGACGATAGGTAACTTTTAAGTCAAAAGGAGCCTCAGGTTTAACTGCAAAGGAATAAGAAGTCATGTTTGTCTATAAAGCCATCAAGGAAATAACTATAATTTTTAAAGTTCATCTACTTGGCAAATAATTCCTATACTTTATGTGTCAGCAGCTGGCTTACTAAATCAAAAACCTATTTCTTCTGTTTCTTGGGTTCAAGCACAGACCATAGTTCCCAGCCTCCCTTGCAGCTGGTGTGGGGTTTTTGATTGATGTGAGTGGAAGTGACTAGCCCAGCCCGGTTTGGCCCAGAGTTCTCGCATAGGTAAGCAATTCCCCTTCTCGATCCCCTTTTACCACTTGAACTCATGTGTTGGATAGTGCAGTCAGAGCATGGAAGGCCCCCTCATTTTTCTTAGGGAAGCACCATCTGTAAGTTAGGAACAATCATTTGCACTCTTACGTGTGTGATCAATGAATAAACTGAAAGTGTCAGATATGGCAGATTGATGGGACTATTTCTTACAGCAGCTAGTGTTAATTTTATACTAAAACATATTCTCTGTGTTTGTAATACTAGGGAACTTTCAACAACTACCCCAGAGCTATATATCATGTAAGCTTTGAGTTTTCATTCTGCCAAAAGCCTAGGCAATAGCTGGGAATGTTGTACCACTTGGTGCATGCACGGGAAGGGTCTGCATCCAGGGCCTAGCTCATGACTTCCTGAGTGGCCTCAGGTTTTCTTTTCTGTCACTCTCTGGTGCCAGAATTCTGAACTCCTTGGGGGTCTCTTCCTCCTCTTTGTCTGCCTCACAAAATTGCTGCAATGATCCACTGTGTCATGTAAGATATCCTGTTGGAGGGATATGAGTAGTTTTTCAGGCAGATCAGACAGAAAGAATGACATTAGGTCACCTCCCTACCTTTAACCCAAGACTTCCTTGTTCTTGTGTCCACTGCTTTTTAATCATGGTCTGGGGAGTTTGTCATCTTGGGATGGGGCATGACTGATCTGAGGCCCTGTTGCTAAGAAAATGTGTGTTTGTTCAGTGACTTGCCCTTACTAGACTGAGCCAAATTCTAGGGTATTTAAACTCAGCTTCAGACTGAACTACTGGCCTCAGCAAATGAAAACCTCCCAGGGGAGTTTGGGCCAGAATAGAAGTGTCATATTCACTTGCGGCATTGTGGTGACTGCCTATTTTTCTTCTGCACAGCTCTGGATACTAAAATAGAAGTGACTTTTCTTTTTCCTTGAGTTTCTTTTAAAGGTGTACTTTATCCTTTTCACCCTCAGAATTACTATTAAAAACTGATGATGTCATACACTTGAAGGAAACAGGATGAAAGGTGGTGGGTGGGGAGAAGTAGCCCCACAGAGAATCCTGGTAACTGTCTTAGCCCTGGCCTCCCTTCACGTTCACGACAAAAGCTGTCGGACGAGTCCCCTGCTTGTCTCCATTTTCCAAGGACTCTCAATAATAATGGAGAAAGAACAGAGCAGATACTGATAAGGCACGGACCAATCACAGAGTGTTTTGCTTATGCTGATTTCAAATGGTAGTTATCCATCAACACTACACTGACAAAGGATCTACAAAGTGCGGTATAGGGTTTCAGGATAAATCCTGAGGGGACTTGACTGACCTTATCAGATACAAAAATTACATTTCTTGTTATATGGGTCTTGTTTTATCATGGTCTTAACTATCCAGAAGAAAGGTATAAAAACGAGGTATAAGGGATGAAGCCATGTTGGCATGCTGGCTGTAAAGGGCTCAAGTCAACAATTTCTGACACTGTCAGTCCTGTGGATGACCCACTACTATTATGAACTACTGGACTATATTGGATTATTTTGCTGAATTCACACGCCTACAATATTTAAATGACAATGGAATACCCTTGTCTGACAAAACTAAATAAAAAAGGGGATACAAATGAATGACCATTTTGTATCTGTATATACAAAATAGGATAGATATGCAGCTACTTTGTCTTAATTCAATGAGAAGAAAGATTTGTACTAATAGTATTTGGACAGGATATCATGTCAGCATCTTGTACTATGAATAACCACTAAGAAGATAACAATATGCAATGTATTAATTATTGAAACTCTCCTATTAATTGGTTTTGAAACTGTCTCATTGCTATTTGTTTCTCAATAAAATTATTAAAAAAATAAAGTTTCCATGTATTTGTAGAAAGCAAACAAACAAAAAAACCCCACTACACTGGTGAGGAAACTGAGTTTTAATTAATTGAGGTTAATTAACCTACATTCTGGTCCCTGCTATTTCATTCTGGCTTGTCCAGAGCTTTCCAGATAATGCTGCGTAAAGCTCAACTGTTTCTACACAGATTAAGAAAAGTGGTTCATTCCTTAATCATATTTTAAAAAGTTAATATGTTCTTATGCAGTCCAAACAATCATATGTATCTTCTCAAGCAGTTGAAATGAGAAGATCAGAAGTTTTGCAGCCTCATTGGGTGAGGGTGGGGCCACAAAAGGAAGGGAAGAAAGGGAGAGAGATTTAGTTGCAAGGGAGCTCTGGCCTTGGGATTCAACTGGGAACATTCAGTTTAAATTCAGTTCAGTGGTAAATCCATGAATAAATGATCACGGTGGGAGCCAGAATAAGATATGGCTATAAGACTATATTCTGCTTGCCAAGAAATGTTTTCCAAAGCCCAATAGACTCAGTGAAACCATTACACAGGGACCTGTGCTATCTGTAGTGTGTATATTCTCCCTGTCTTCTGTCCCTCAGAGGAGATGTGTCAAGCTTGCAGTCTGCTTGTGGGTGCAGAAAGTAGGTCTCTAAGGGTATCCAGAACATGGGATCTAGGGATGTGGATGTAGCAGGGTGTCATCTGGAGCCTTTGGGTGTGTTGTGTTATATGCATAAGGGAACTCCTGTGCTGATGCAGGTTTATGTAAGAATGAGCTCTCCCCTGATATTGCAGCAAACTTTCAAAAGATAATATAGTTTTGCCTTCCCTCAGAAGTAAGAAATAAGTATGATGCTTTCATGCAGTGCACAAACTAACCGTCCATTTATAACAGGCTGGCTCCAAGTGATCCAAACCCAGATTTCTCATGCCTCAGACTGAGATGCCCTATGGTTGCCACCCTTATCCTGGACAGTACTCACATGGGTATGGCCATGTTGCCAAGTGTTTCTCTTCAACTGCATTTTTAAAAAATTCCAAGATAATCATTCTGTCATAGAACTTCTGTTTAATTTTTTACTTTTCCAAATTTTGAGCATATGTGTGTGTGGGGAGGTGGGGGTGAGTGTGTTATTGAGAATTAAACTCAGGGCTTTTGTACAGTCTAAGTTATGGAATTCACCTATTTAGTCACATTCCAACTTAAGTTTTTTTTTTTATAAAACAGATATGTCTGAAATTTGTTTGACTTTGAGTGGAGCAGATCACCTTCCATGTGTGGTAGGTACCATTATAACAAAGACTGTGGTTTCTTGAAGAAATAAATTTGTTTCAAGTAAACAAAGTGGTTTCCTTGAGCTTGAGCTTCTTGTTTAGAGGAATTTAGATTCAAGGCTATAACATTCACCCTTGTCTGAATCTTTAGCCTTCTGGTTTACCATACAGTTTAAAATTGGCAGCCTCCTATGAAAAAGTAAAACTATCTATCTATCTATCTATCTATCTATCTATCTATCTATCTTTGATCTATTATATATGTATCTATGATCTATGATTTCCCTTCCTTCTTCTGTTGATTCTCTTTCCTCTGGAAAAATTAAAATACAGAAAGCATATGTGCTTTCAGACATAGCTTGACAATTTAGCTAGTGACTCTCAATGTGTGAAAAGAAGACTACAAGGCATTTAGGAGAAGGCAAGAGGAAGAGGATGACAAGATTCTCTTGTGTCAGTGGATGACAAGAGGCTCAGCACAGCTAGATACTTCATATTGATTTGTTCTTTTCTTGATCTGTAGGTATAAAAACCCTCTTTCAAAGCTCAGTTTGAAGATTTTTATAATTCTTTCACCAGAATAATTGGCACTTTTAAGTGTGAGGTTTTTTATTTATTTAGAAATTGTAGGGTCAGGGAGATGGCTCAGTGGAATAAGTGGTTCCCTGGCAAGGTAAGGGCCCGAGTTCAATCCCCAGTTCCGAAAAAAGAAAATTGTATTTGAGAAATTGCCATTATCCGTTGCTGATTTTTAACACAGTTTGCCTATTTTTTAACACATAATAAATTCAGACCGTCTTCAGACATCGAAAAACTGACAACCATACTCATACACAACCACTTACCTATATGGACTATTTCCACTCTTTTACAGGCTAGATACTCTTCTCTAAGTTTCACACATATGTTGCTTTTACCAATCATTAAGAATTTATTTGTCTTGATGAAATATTTCTCATCTGGCAGTTTATTAAAATTCAAGCAATCTATCAGTAAAAGGCTCTCACTGTAGAAACAAAAAGGAAATGTGTTGACTCAGGTAACATTTGTATACACATTGGAATAACATAACAGTACATTGTAGTCATATAACTTTAACTTTGGTGTCTTTAGGTAAGGCAGGCATGGATGCAGGTTAATAGAAGAACAGAATGAATCAAAGTAATGTGGCTTCCTGCTGCCCTATTATTGCATGTTGATTTGTTTCCACATTAAATACAAATGTACCTGAAATAGGCAAAGGACACTCATGACAAGCAGGGGAAGTTCCTTTACTTTTATAATTGATTATTGAAAAAAGATTGTTTAGGTAGCAAGGTAATTGCTTTTTTGTTGTCCTACAGGAATAAATGAAAGAAAGGCTATGAAGAAACATTGACCACAAAATAATGAAAAGTTCTATAAAAGAAATACTGAAACAATCTGAACAATTATAGACATAAAATCACACATATTTAGTGGGTAGCCTAAGAGATTTTTATAGGTAATTTTAGGTGATGAGCTCTAATAATATAGGTTAAAAAAATCAAAGATATAAGTTGTCCATATCTGAAATGTAAAAGAAGATATTACTTTAGATCATGCAGATATTTAAATAAGGAAAATTAAAATTTATGACAAAGCATATAATAACTTTTATGTCATAAAATGTATTTATCTAATTATAAGTTAATAAGATGAACTCATGTACAAATTGAATATCTCAATATTTCATTTTAAAGAAATTACATTTATTACAAAAAAACTTTCCCACAAAGAAAATGGTATGCTGTGGGCCATGAGTGAGTGACTTCTATCAAATGTGTAAGAAAGATATAGTGCTAGTCTTATTAAAATTTCTTCCAGAACATAAAGGTGGAGTAGATTCTTTCCAAATTATTTTATGAGGCTAGGTAACTGGTATCAAACTTGGTCAGAATTTTTAAAAAAGCACATTATAGAAGAATAACCTTCAAAAATATGTGGAAAATTCCTCCAAGAACTATTTACACATGCATTATAACCAAGTAAAGTTATCCCCAGGGAACCAAAATAAATCTAATATTCAAAGCTCAACCAATATAATTTACCGTGAAAATAAAAAAATGTAAATTATTAGTTTATTTTCAATTGACTTAAGAATTTAGAGTAAAAAAACAAATCTATAAAGGAAAACCCAATAATCACAACAGATTTCTCAACACAAATTCTCAAATCAAGGAGAAATTGGAGTGAAGTAATTTTAAGCCTTAAAAGAAAATAATCCCTAAGCCAGACTGAAGAACTTTGTAAGACTATCTTTCAAAATTGATGGGAAAATAAGATACTTCCATGACAAAGAACACCTGAATAAGTTTGGGAACACAAAATAAGCTCTTCAGAAAGCAATGAAGGATATATTAGAAAGAAGAAACAAACATCACAATTACATGAACACAAATAGACAGAAACAATCAGGCAGGCTAAGTAATTAAACAGGGGAAAGGGGGGGAACCAAGAGCAGGAAAATAATACATGAAATAGAAACCAATCTATATCTGTTATAATCATCAATATAAATGATCTCAGTTCACCAATCAAAAGAAACAATGGTGGGCTGAATCAAGAAGCAAGATCCAAAAATATGATACATTAATGAAACACATTTAATTTCAAAAGGAATTCATAGAATGAAAGTCAAAGGATAGAAAACACTATTCCATGCAATAGGAGCTCAGAAAAAAGCGGGAGTAGCTATTCTATTTTCAGACAATGTGAATTTCAAGTGAAAACTAATCAAAAAAGACAATATCACAACCTACTTGTTAATAGAAGACTCCAAGAAAGGGAGATAGCAATCATACATATATGTGCACCAAATGCTGGTTCACCCAAATACATAAAACAGATATTATCAGACATGAAAAATCAAGTAAGCACTAACACAGTTGGAATGGGGGACCTTCATATCCCACTCTCATAACTAGATAGATAATCTAGGCAAAAAATAAACAAATATTACAATTAAACCAAACCTCTAAACAAATGGACTGAGTAGATGTCTACAAAGTATTTCACCCAACAACAGCAGAGTACACATTCTTCTCAGCTACACATGGGATGTTCTCCAAAGTAGAACACACATTAGCCCATATAGCATGCTTAAGTAAATGCAGATGACTTTAAATTCTTCCAGGCATATTATCAGACCACAGTGCAATGAAATTGGAAATCAAAGGAAAAAGAAACCACAAAAATTATATAAAAGATAGGAAATTAAACAACACCTTCCTGAATAACCAATGGGTCACAGAGGAAAGTCAAGAAGAAATTAAATAGTATTTATAATTACATGGTGCCAGTGCAACATACTGGAACTTATGGGATGCAATGAAAGCAGTAAGGGAAATTTATAGCAATAAATTTTCATATCAGGAAAACAGAAAAAGCTCAAGGAAACAACTTGATGTTGAGTCTCAAATTCCAGGAAGAAAACATCAATCCAAAACTGGTATGAGAGAGAAAATTGTAAGATCGGGGCAGAAATTAATTCAATTGAGACTAAGAAAACAATTCAAGGAATCAATGAATTGAAAAGTTGATTCTTTGAAAGATTAAATAAAATTGATATACCCCTAGACTATCTTATGAAAAAGAGGGCTGAGAGATAGCAAAGGGGTCTAAACACCTGCCTGGAAAGCTCAAGGACTCAGGTTTGGTCCCCAGTACCACATGCTGTGCTGGTCCTGGAGCCTCAGGTACACAGTGCTGGCCACTGAAACTGGGAGTGGTGGTGCATCCCTGTAATTCTAGCACTGGAGAGGCTGATACAGGAGGATCACTACCAATACAATTTGCACAGTGAGACCCTGTACCAAATAAATAAATAATTTTTAAAAAACTTGAAAAAAAGAGTCCAACATTCACTCATGATAAAAACCCTACATAACATTGGAATAGTCTTTATCTTCATCTGATAAAAGCCATCTGTGACAAACAAATACACAATATCTTAATAAATGGAGAAAAACAGACAACTTCCACTCTAAAATCAGGAACAGGGCAAAAATGGCCATTATCACCCCTCTTGTTCAATATGTATTTCTTAAAACATTAGACAGAGCAAATAGACAAGAGAGAAATAAAAGGAATAAGGACAGGAAAGAATGAAGTAAAATTAAAATTATTTGCAGATGACATGATACTCGATATAGAAGACTCCAAAAACTCCACCAAAACACTTCTAGATTTAAAAACTAAATTCAGTAGCATTGTTAGAAACAAAGTCAACACTCAACAAACAATGATATTTCTGTACACAAACAAACTCACTGAAAGAGAAATTAGGGAAATGACAAGTTTCATGATAGCATTCAAAAAAATGAAATACTTAGGATCAATCTAACAAAGAAAGTAAAAAATCTATGGGTTGAAAATTACAGTATTCTGAAAAAAGATCAAAAAGGACATCAGAAAATGAAGAGCTACCCCTCACTCATGGGTAGGAAGAATCAACATACTGAACGTGGTCCTACTCTCAAAATTGTTATACAAATTTAACTCAATCCAGATCAATATATCATTGCATGTCTCATAGAACCAGAATAAACATTCCTAAAATTCTTTGGATCAAGAAGAGGCCTAGAATAGTAAAAACAATTCTGAGCAGCAAAGGCAAGGCAGGAGACATTACACTTCTTGACTTGCAATAATACTACAAAGCTACTGTGATTTAAAAACAGTGTGGTATTAGTGTAGAAACAGACTTGACCACAATGAGAGCCTTAGAAGATGCAGAAACAACTCCAAACACACTCAAACACCATATATTGGACAAAGGAATCAAACATGTTCACTGGAAGAAAGCCTTTTTAGTAAATAGTACTGAAAATGGACTTCCTTCAGTGTGAAAGCCTAAATCTAGACCCATGTCTATCACCATGCATTAAACTAAGATAAAAATGTATCAAATAACCTAAATATTAAAACTGAAACAATAAATCTGCTGGAAGAGATAAGAGCAAAACTCCTAAAGACAAATATAGGCAAAGATTTCATGAAGAAAATCCAAATCACACAGAAAATAGTACAATAAATCAATAACTGGAATCTCATCCTATTAAAAAGCTTTTGCACAGCAAAATAAATCACAAATAGAGTGAAAAGACAACTTACAGAATGGAAAAATAAATTAGCCAGTTGCCCTTCAAAGGACTTATATCTAGCACATATAAAGAATTGAAAATAAATCAGAGCCCCCCCAGATTTAAAGATCCAATCCAAAACTGGACATCTAAATGAATACACACTTCTCAGATGAAGAAATACAAATGGCAAAGAAATGCATGAAAAAAAGTGTTCAGCATCAATGGTTATTAGACAGATGCAAATTAAAACAATGCTGAAATTCTATCTCTATGAAGAACATTATTTATTATACATATTATATAATAGACTTCTATTCTGCCATAAAGAAGGATAAATTTGAGATATTTGTAGGTAAATGGATGCAACTTGAGACATGCTCTTAAGTGAAATAAATCAAACTCACAGATGTAAACATTGCATTGCCTCCCTGGTATGATAAACTGAAAGAGCAAATAAGGACCAAAATTTACAATAGATATTGGTAAATGAAAAGAAATTATTCAGAAGGAAATAAGAATTAGGCTGGGGAAAGAGGAAAGTAAAGAAGGGAAAAGCGAAAAATAACAATAAAAAAGAATAAAATAGAAGCAAAGCTTTGTAAATAGAGAGGGGAAGATGAGTTGAAGGGAGAAGGGATTGGGAAGAAAAGAGGAATAAAAATATGATGCATGGGTACAAATTCCTTATACCCAATATGATAATTATGTATATCTAAAAATGTACAAGTAAACTTAATTTCAAAAGTTAATTTTGCCTATTTATTTTTTCCATTTAAAAATTTTAGCCCCTAGAAAATTTAGCATTACCTATGTGGCTCAGAGACTTATGGGTTATATTGTATTGCTAGCAGAGAGAGCTACTCTAGGGTATGTGGGGTGGAAGTGAGAGGGGGAGTGGGAG